CCCATAAAACAAGAGCAGCAGGGTTTTTTTTCATAGACATTTTTTCATAGATATCAGGGCTGGAAGGGACCCCGGAAGATCATCGAGTCCAGCCCCCCGCCCAAAGGGCAGGAAGTCAGCTGGGGTCATAGGATCCCAGCAAGATAAGCATCCAGTTTCATCTTGAAGGTGTTCAATGAAGGCGCTTGAACCACCTCCGGTGGCAGGCTGTTCCAGACCTTGGGGGCTCGGACAGTAAAGAAGTTCTTCCTTATGTCCAGCCTGAAACGATCTTGAAGTAGTTTGTGACCATTCGACCTCGTCGTCATCCCTTGGGGCGCTCTGGTGAACAAACGTTCCCCCAGGTGCTGGTGGTCACCCCTGATAAACTTGTAGGTGGCCATCAGATCACCCCTGAGCCTGCGCTTTTCCAGGCTAAAGAGCCCCAGGGCTCTCAGCCTGTCATCGTAGGGTCTGTTTCCCTGACCTCTGATCATGCGCGTGGCTCTTCTCTGGACTCTCTCAAGCTTCTCCACATCCTTTTTGAATTGTGGAGCCCAAAACTGGACACAGTACTCCAGCTGCGGCCTCACTAAGGCCGAGTACAGGGGGAGAATGACGTCCCGGGATTTGCTTGAGAAGCATCTATGGATGCAAGCCAGCATTTTGGTCACTTTACTAGCCGCCGCATCGCACTGCAGGCTCATGTTCATCTTGTGGTCAATGATGACCCCCAAGTCTCTTTCTTCCATAGTGCTAGCCAACATAGCATTGCCGAGCCTATAAGGATGCTGCGGGTTTTTTTTCCCCAAGGTGGAGAACCTTGCATTTATCGGCGTTGAACACCATCAGATTCTCTTCCGCCCACTTGCTGAGCCTGTCCAGGGTATTATAACTAAGCTAAAAGGTGAATAATTCTGGACTGATAAAAAGGAATAATTTTTCACACATTGGATAATTAGGCAGTGGGATTCACTGGCACAGGAAGTCATTGAGGCCAAGAATTTATCAAGATTCAAAAAAATCTCATTTAGAGAAAGAAAAAAAAAATCCATCATTAGTATTAACAAAGGTTGGAAGGAAAATTATACAGATAAATCCAAAGGAAAGATATGTTAGAGACAAAAATAAGACAGAAATGCTAGACATATTAGATATTTTTGGAGGTAGGATGCACCCTTTAAATGCCATAAATAATTGATCTTGTATGCAGCCCAGCCCCTGGCTTCTTTACTTTTCACTCCATCCAGGAAGAGCACACACCAACTGCTGAATCTTCCTTAGCCTGATGAAGGGTTTTTGAACCCGAAAGCTTGCTTAAAAAATGTTTTCCAACTATTTAAGTTGATCTAATAAAAGATATCAGATTCACCCAAAGAACCTTGTCTGCCTATGTCCTTAGACCAACACAGCTACACCCTACACCCTATAAATAATTGAACCACATAATCTATTGAATACTATGATGATGGAGTTTAGAAGCAAGCTGGCAGTTCCCATGACCCTATTGCTGTTAGTAGTAGTCACAGTAATAGCAGCAGTAATTTTCTATACTTTGCTCACATATATGTGGGATGCTAGAGTGAAATATCAAAACTAGTTTGGGAGTAACTACTATTCCCATATTTCCAGTCAAGCCAAAATCAAGAACTGCCAGCATAAAGTTAAAGAAATATTTCCAATGCACAAATATTTCCTTTTCCACCCATCAGTACTTTCACTGCTATGGCTATTTGCAAGCTTTCCAGTTAGAAGTCAGGTTGTGAGACAGCCTAAGTCCAATTCACAAGAGGAGCTTCAGTGAAACAGCTTTATTGTTTTGACCTCACTCCCCAACGGAGAGTTGTCCATGTGATAAAAAACCCACATAAATAATTCAGCCCTGTTAGCGTATGTGCTGTACGTGTAAAGGAAATGTGTGATCGGTCCAACAAAGAGACAGAATCACATCCCTTTCCAAGAAAAGAACAAGTCCATCGGTCAGGCGCGAGGCCATTGACAGGTCAGGGCAACTGGAGTGCCCTTCTCTGCTGGTCTCCACCAAACCCCGGAGGGATGCACCGAAGCACATCCGTGTGGTGCTGTCTGGAGATATGCCTCTAAAGATGTTGGCTGAGGAAAGAAATATTGATTTAAAAATAAGGAAGTAAAAACAAGGATCTGCTGTTTATTTCAGATGTCCCAGTGACCAGCAATTTGATGGGGCGTTTGGAATGGCAGTGCTATACCAACCAATTTATTTTGCCCTAAAGCATCTCTAAGTTTTGATGCAAATGAATTATGGAGCCTATAATTAAAGTGGTTTGTATCATTCATCATTAAGGCTCCCACTTAGCCTTGCAATGAACAGCATCTATTTGTTTTTTTTTATATGCTATTTATATAATCATTATTTATCTATATTTAATTATAATCGTTTTATTTAGAAGGCACCCCTCAGTCAAAGCACTCAGGAAAGCTGCACAAGCAATTAAAATACAATCATGAAAATAGCGTGAAATGAAACCTTGTATAATGCAGAACCTAAAAGCAAAACGTGGGAGAAGTAAACAAAGCAGCAGACTAGCAGAAGAGGGGATTTTGCTTCAGGAAACCCTTAAAAATTAGAAAAATGAAGAAAAGTTTGTCAGCGGTAATTTTTTTTCGAAGGGCTTGTTGTAAAATTAATGCAATCCCTGGTGCTATAATTGTTCTACCGAACAGTGGGCAAGGCTGGTGCCTGAGGTCTTATTGAAATCCAACTGAGCGGCCACAGAACTACAGCCAAAATTTAAAGATCGAAGGCACCACCTGATCTGCACTCACCATACAGCTAACAACGTATGTTTGTTGCTTTTCAGCTCCTCAGCTGTGCTAATGTACACAAGGAAATTTCTTTAAAAGAATTAATTAAATACCTTGAGACATTTTTATTTAATTTTTTTTAATGGGGGCCTGGATTTTGCTCTGTTCTTTCTTAAATTGACAGTTTTGTCTTTCTAACTCACTTTGACAGTCTGTTATTTTCTCTGGTGCTTCTATATTTATTCAAGAGTAGGGCATTGTTGTTTTGAACAATGGTAGAAAGCAGAGCGCGTGGGCTTTTCTTGGGTTCAGGCCAGGTGCCTGGGGCACTTTTTGTGGTAATTGAACATCACAGAACTTGTCCAAAGTCTGTAAAAAGTTATTGTGCCATGTTTAAATGTTCACTGTTTCCTGATTTTTGTAGGATCATTTCTACATCCCTTTTTGCCAGAGGCCGCTCCGGTTTATAATGAGCCCATTCTCTCCGCCCATCCCGAAAGCATTTATGGAACAACAAAAGGACAAATGGACAAACACATTTTTAGCAACAGGCTTGGAAGTAGACCCTATGGGCCCAAGGTCAGTGGAAATATTGGAAGTGGCCTCGGCCTTAATTCAAGGAGCATAAGGCTAGGCATTTCTGCTCTGGTATGTCCTAGCTATTCCAGCTCACCAAGTCCCTCACTGCTTTCTGAGTCCATCTTCCAGAAAAGGATCTAGTCTCTTTGTGGAGACATGAAGGGGTGGAAGATCCAACCACTGACAATAGATTCCAATGGAAAGTTGTAAACTTCTTCATATTTAATACCTACTGCCCGTTTCTTACTTGACTTTGCCTGTTCCAGCTTCCTGGCATGCCTTTTTTCTGCTAAACAAAAGAGCTTCTTAATCCTGTGTATTTTCTCCCAGTGGATGTACTTATATTAGGATTGCCAACCCTCCGGGATTGCCCCAGAGCCTCCAGGAATTAGATATAAATGTCCAGGAGACTGCTGAGAGTTACCTGGGACATAAGTGCTAGGGCATTCATTAAAATGAATATTAAATGTTGAATCCAATTTATAGAGAGTAGGCCAGTGTTTGTTTGTTTTTTTAATGTAACAGTAACATACATTTGCCTTCCTGACAAAGTCTACACGTCGTAATCCATGACTGATATGCACAAGCAGGAGGACACGTTCGCATTGTGTGTCATGGGCACACTGACGTACCAGAAACCTCCCAGAATAGATTCAAACAGAGTTGGCAACCCTAACGTATGTGTTATAGTTAAACAAAATCCAAGTGGGAAAAAGGTTGCATGTTTTTAACAGTAAGGGCAATTAACTACTGGCACCAACTGCATAGGCAAAGAGGGATTCTCCATCTCCTAATGTCGTCAAGTGAAGGCAGGTCACCTTTCTGAAACATCTGCATTAACCACAGCCACTGGGATTTTCTTACCTGATTTCCTGTACAACAGAGGCTGCAGGTTTTCCCTGAATCAATTCCCATTGGAGCTGGAGAGTAACTTTTACCCTCCCCCTCCACCCCCCAAAACATTCCAATTTTGAGATAAAACTTGCAAGTGATGGAAAATCCATTATCTGGAGAGCCCTTCTCTTGCAAGTATCTTTGGAGATGAGGTGAGTGAGTGTTTTGACTTCAGCTGTCAGCATGGATTAGTGTGTGTCCACAGATTTTTTATATACTCGCAGCCTGCTTTAGGGAGGTAATGGACACTTTGTGCAATGCGCCGACACCAACAACTGAGAGTGACATCTGGGAATTACAGACACCTAGCATCTTACAGCAGGTCTCCAGCATCTCATAGTATCACAGAAACCTCAGGAGCAATTTACTAAGGAGAAATACAAATACTTAAAATATCTCATTGCCCATTTCAGGCATCTTAACATGGATATTATATTCCAAACATTGGTTAAAGATCACAGAATGGTAGAATCACTGCAGTTTGATGCAAAAAAATCACTGGACTGCAAGGAGAAAAAAATAAAAATATAGCTTATGAACTTGCCACACTTTCACTCTTAGAACTGACATTCAGACAGTGTGATAGATATCTGATATAGATTAGTTCCAGTTCAATGGATGAACCACTGACCTGCTTTTCCACAAGGGGAAAAACAAACAAAATTAATTAAAAGAGAGAAAACCAGATCTGTATTGTTATGCTGCTTGAAATCTCTCCAACAAAACAACAAGCAACCTTGGTAGAACTGTAGTTTTGCCTCTGTTATTAGCCACCTGGTTGTTACAAAAGCCAATCAATGTCCATAAACAAGGTAAGCCTCAATGAAACGCACACCCTGTTCATTCTCTTTTCTTTTTTTCCTTTGCAGTAAATGCTTGTTACTTGTACCCATCAGCAGACTGCTTGCCACTTCGAATTGCATCTGCAATACCGACAGGCAACATGAAAAAAAAAAAAAAATTAGAAAAAAGTAAAGAAGACTCGTGATTTACTTTGGGAGAGAATGGCAGCCCTGTGAGGCACATCATCTACCCCTAGGACATTGATGATTAAGCAACTTTAATTAGAAGCATGCCTAAATGGTAAGATTTAGCTCTAAATTAATATGGAGAACAACTGACAAGGAGAGCAGTCAATACAGAACAGGGTCCTTAAGGGAAGAGTTCAGGGTAAGATTGATCTGGGTAAGACTAGTTGCTACCCTAAAAAAATGATCATGGTGAGACACTTCATAGAGTTGTGCCCTTTTTGTAATTGGAGACAGTTGTGGTGTCCATTGCTGCATTGCTCTGGTGGGAAATTGTGACATTGGGCACGCCTGCACATTGCCGTATGGTGATGCTGCTACCATACTCCTTTTGGAAGCACTAAAGCACAGTGCAATACGAGTGGTTACTGTGCTGTGCGGGCGGCACACACGTAGATTTTGCTGCTACGTCGCTATAACCAGGGAGAGCGCCACTACACCAACATAGCTGGTGATCACATGTAGACACATGTGATCACTACATCACTGCAGCATGCCATATGGCAACCTAGTGCATCGCTATATCACCATAGGGTGACATGTAGACGCACCCATTTGTAATATCTTGCTTTGTCCATTGTTAGAACCTAACCAAACTCTTATTAGTTCTCAGACTCTTGGAGAAATTTCTGTGGCTTTCCATTTCAACAGGGGATAAGAACTGGCGCAATAGCAAGAGTGGGTGCCATTGCATTATTGCTGCTTTTTTAGATAAGATGGGAAGGAAGTGCTCCTCTGAGGTCGTCTGGTTGAACGAGTGAGCATTTCTGGATCACTGAGAGTTTCTATAAACAACTAAATGAAATGTATTGAAACATGACAGGACCCAGCCACAGGAGCTGGTGTCAGTTTTAGGGCACTTCTAGCCCTGTGGTCCAGCTGCCAGGATGGGTCCTGCCTTTGGGTGACTTCAGCCATCAGCTGCATACACCACCCATACACCACCGAGTGCCTCAGAAGGGAGAGGAAGCGTGGCAGGGTGTCGTGCTACCGGGACTAGGGAAGGACACCCCCATAGCACAGATTTCACATTCGATGAATGGATTTGCAGCTGAGATCAAGGCTCTGTTCCACCGGGAGATTCACCAGCACGCTGCGGTGCCAAAGCTCTCGTGGTCCAGACACACAAGAGAGGCAGACAACGGATAACAGAAGTGATTTATCCATGGTCACAGAGCAGATGCATGTCGGAGATGGAAATGCGACCCAGGCATCCTGGCTGTCAGGCTAATACCCCATCCGCTGCCTCTCAATTCTTGATGGTGATTTTGTTGGGGGGGCGATACCTCTGAAATCATACAGTTTTGACACAACGCTCTGAACCTCTAATGCCCTACATGAATTGTTTCAGTGTATTATAATGTTAATGATGGGATCCTGTAAACCAGGCTACATCTCTATTGCCATTTAAGGTAGTTTAAAATACTCCCCTGATAGAAAAATCAAATTTATTTTATGCCATTAAAGTACTTTAAATCATAGTTGTATCGATAGAAGCTGAATTAAATCACCCCCTGTCCTCTGAAACCAATTTGTATTGTTATAACAAGACCCACAGAGAAGAGTTATTTAAATCATTTTCGTCCAATCACAATGATTTAATGTGCATCACACCATAAAGCAGCCAATAAATTATTCTTGTATCTAAGTTCTTCAAATTGCTCCTATCCTATTAGTGCTGTTTAGCTTGTTCTAAAAATAATTTAAACTGTATTACACATATCCAAAACACTTAAATCAATCCAAGGATGACACAAGTGTGCTTTATAAGCTACAATCCCTTGTGATAAATTATTCTGGACACATACTACATTAAATCTCATATTTCAGATTTTAAGGTTTGTTTTTTTTAATTTTGTGTGCATCAATTTCAATAGCACATAGCAGGAAT